AAGTTGATCAATATTTATTCGGTGGATTGTGGGAAGACGCGAAGCGTGGTAGTAAAACGTTATCTTTCAGGACCAGTTCATATGATGCAAATGGAAAAAAAGGGGACAGGCTTTGATTTGTGATTGATTTAAAATTCAAAATTCCCCCTTTTTTGTAACTTTTTGTATAGCGTCATTATGTTTAACAGCTAGAAAACGTCCAATGAAACGCTACGCGCGGGTTAGGGATAGAATGCGCTACATCGTTGATGGATTTGTATATCACAACAATTTAGTATCTGGCAACCCTCCTTTACGGTAAATCGCTTATAATTATTGTTAAGTGGAGGTAATAGTTGGTTTGTAGATATTTGGGTTGCGTAGAACATAAAAGGACGGGTTGTCACGGAAGAGCCACCCTACCGGTACACGGAACTTCCGATCAGATTAGAATAACTCAACTTCACAATCATCCTCCCGATATCATAGCCGAGGAAAAATACACTTTTCATAAGCAGTTGAAAGCCGCGGTGAGATCAATGGAAAGCTCCACTTTGAAGAATGTTTACGAGACTGTAGCGGATTTGTAAGTTTACAAATTCTGTTTGGGTTCGCGCTTCGATTTCAATTTTAGGTATCCTCAGGCAGCTGTCGAAACTCCATTCCGGTCAGTTAGCTCATCTTTGCATAGATGGCGGCAGAATCCTGACATGTAGCCGTTTTTGTTTTTGCGTAAAGGAGAATAATTTGTAGTAAAGGCACTGTGTCATTCTAACTTTTGTTTGATCCTTCCTTTTCTTTCAAAAATTGGTAATACTGAAAGATTAATGTTAACGCAAATGTTTATTATTTAAATAAAACGTTATGCTATAAGTGAAAAACTCTTAACGTGATTTTTCTTAAAGAGGCTATCGGACCTTAAAATCAAAATGGTATTAATATTATAAATTCACGCCAATTTGATTTTTCTGAACATAGTTTCCCTAAGACAAAGCGTTCCTTGAACAATCCAATGGGGAGAGGCCAACTGATCCAATCCTGTCTATCGACTCCATTACAATTACTTTGGAATGATGTAAATAAATGAAACTAGTTTTAGTCGTGGCTATTGATAGACTCCTCAAGTTGCACTGTTCGATTTGCACTCGCTTACTAAGAAAACTTAAATTCGCTCTAGAATAAAGTACAGTAGAACCCCGATTATTTGTACTCCACGGGACTTGGCTAAAATATTTATTTCTTCTTACATATGAACATATTATATACATATACAGGGTGAAAATTTTGTCAGGAACACTGAATATATATTCAAAACAACATTTTTTAAATGTTTTCTTGGTATCCAACATTATAAAAAGTTTGCTACCAATGTGCTTAAAATTTGTGGTCAGTGGCGTCCTTCTACATGGTCAACAAGGGGCAAACTTATTTTAAATAGCAACCGGTAGTTTTCTTCACATACTCTTAAAGAGTACTTTTTTGTTGTTTGGAGCAGCATAAAAAACTTTTAAGAGAAAAACTCAAAATTGTTAACTAATAAATAATTTTTAATTATGTACATTTCTTTTTTTCAAAATGAGAGACTAACGAAAGAGTAACGTTTTTTCAACGCAAACTAATGAAATTATTAAATTAATTAACACAATCATTTTCCTTAATTTAGATCTTTGTCTTAAATTTGATATGTAATATAATAATTTTTTTTATCCTGATATATCCAATAAAGTGTACGCGTATATGTGCGCATGCGCGTTACCAACTTCCTTATTTATGAAGACATTTCATTGAATTCTTAACCATGTAAAGAAAAACATATCACGTGTAGTAAAAATCTAAAACAACAAATGTCATTAGCAAACGAAAACACATCGCACATAGTAAAAATTAAATACGCGCATGCGCACACTGCAAGATCCCTTTAAAATTTTATCCATAGACGCTTCTAGTAAAAACAGACATGTAGCATAAATTAAATGATGCGCATGCGCAATGTCAACTTTCTTATTTATGGAGATATTTCTTTGAAATCTTAACGTAAGCTGCTTTTTAGTAAAAACAAACGTACCGCATATTGTAAACATTAAGCATTAAGTCTGTCTCCCACATTTATTATTATTATAAAAAATGACTAACTGCGTCTTCAAGAAACAAAAGGGCAGACGACCCATCATTTAGTGTAAACAGACGTGCGCGCTCTTTTACTGTCGCGAAACCAGCAGCGACCCCGTTTACTCGTTCTCTCTCTATTTAAGGAGACACCACTTCCACTATAAAAGAAACTCCTTTTAGAATTTTCAAATAAATCGCCATGTGACAATGGAAAGCTCCAAACGTCCCCACTTCTCCAGATGAAATGCGCAATTAACAGAGATAAAACGCGTGCGTAGTGTTGTAAAATTCTCATAATTATGTTAAAAATATTAAAAAGTAATATACGCAACATAGTATATGGGGTCAGATAAAAAATGATTCGACATAATCTAATTTTTTTAAATGGATCACCCTGTATATATATTCGGATTTATGGCTCAATGGTAGAGCATTGGGTTATAAATCCGGAGGTCGGGTGTTCGAACCTGAGTTGAGTTGAATTTTTCATCTGTGGGGGAGATGGACCAGTTCCGAGCATTCTACCGGCTACTCCGAATTAGGTTTTCCTGCAGTTTTCCTAATTCGTAAGGTAAATACAGGAGTAGTATAGACCATCTTAAGACCTTCTGCAGAGGCACCTCTGAATAGTATTATGCGGGTCACTCTGTAATTGGGCGCATGCCTGTTGAGGGCCCAAAACAAGAGAGGGATAATAAAATAAAAAAAAATATATATATTTTAATCCAAATAATTTTTTTCAAAAATATAACACTAAAAAATAAAAAAATATTGATTGAGATTCAAAAAATATATTCTTTTAAAAAAATTCAAAAATCTTTTTGAATTTTTTGTGTGTATCATTTTTTTAATAAATCTCTAATGTGTTTTAAAAAGAATTTAATATCCTTTTAGAATAAAATATACGGGTGTTCAATTAAAAAGAATGAGGTTAGATCAATACCTTTTTTACCTGACACTGTATGCATTCTGAAAACTGCAGATTATTCAATTATAAAGTAACTTTTTTAATAAACATCTTTTAACTAAGACAATATAGGGTCATTCATTTCATTCACTTTTTTATTTTCCCTCCTACCTCCTCAGCGAGCGAATATCTTCAAATTTTGATTTTACCATTTTAAATTTGACCCAAAAAGATCACATAATGCCTATATTACTAACAATTATGGAGATATCCTAAAAATTGTCGAAGATGGGACACCCTGTACATAGATAACTTAAGGTGAATTAGTTAAGTAAGATATCTAATTTTCTGCCTTATAGAAATATACCTACTTGTAGGAAATACATATCTCCTTATTGGTACATAGCTTTATTGCATTTATTTATCAATTTCCTTATACAATCCAATAATCCGGCACAATAATAATAATAATAATAATAAATGTCTAATATGTACCTAGGTTAAATTACATAGAAATGTGTACAAAGGGCGAGATTCAGTACTGGAATGAAACATACCATTTCTGCAAATTTAGTTTTCATTTTCCCTACTTAAGCGGACGGAAATAGAAGGTTCCCGTTAGCTCCTTCTAGGGGTACTTTTTTTTTGGAGAATCGAAATCTGTTTTTAAGAATTTCCATAACACACTAGATACTACAGTACTTTCTTATTTCTTATGAACGCCATATCGGATATTTACGGAATGAGATGGATCACAAAAAAGGAAAAGTAATGATCAAACATTCGTTAGATCTTGTTGAATCAACATGGCTATGATGGCGATGAATTCAAATGAACTTTTTTTGTCCCCTATCTCATTCTGTAAAAATCCAATATGGCGTCTATAAGAAATATGCAAGTAGCAGCCCGTAGTTTCTACATCTAGAAATTTTGATTCAGATTCTCTTAAGGGAAGTTCCCATAGAAGTTGCTAACGAGAACTGTCTATTTCCGACCGTGTAAGCTAGGGAAAATGAAATTTAACATTTTCAGTTTTTCCGTGATATCTCAGTTGTTTGAAATACGTTTTTTTTAGTCACAAAAATGGGCAACTTTTCCCCCCTATAACATACACTGTGTCTTTCACCGTTACGCAGATCCCAATGGTGAACCACCCTGTACATATTTAATTACATATCGCTTAAACTATAAAAAGTCGAGCTATTAGAAAATTTCTGTAGTTCTGTCTGAAAAATTAAGCAACCATCGATCATTCACGGGCGCCATCTCGCGAGGCTTTTCTATTTTGGTAGGCCCACGCATGCATGCAGTATGATAGTATGGATTTCGTAATATATCTCACATTCATGCTCAGTATTCTTTGGTAGATTGTTTAATCGACGATCCTACTATAAAAAAACCAAGATCGAGGACACGCACGAGATTTATACATGGTGGATTTGTCTACCACAGTAAATTAATAGCGGGAAAGAGTAATCGCATACGGTAAGTAGGATTAAATGTTCCTGGTGTTTTAGTGTTCGATCCTCGATTTAGGTACTTGGCATGCGCCGAGATCAAAAGGTCAGGATGTCGTGCCCGAGCGATTTTGCCCGTAGGTATGTCGTCTAGCTTTCTTCGTATTACGCATCCGCACAATCATCCGCCTAACGAGAATGTCGAGGAGAAGGATTGTTTTGTGACGCACCTAAAGCAGGCGGCGCGAACTATGCCGGGCTCTCTGAGAAGAGTCTACGAGACAATAGCGATTCTGTAAGTCATTTCGTGCGCCCATTTCTCTACGTGTCTTATTTTAGATATCCTAGAGGCGCAGAGGAGCTGCCGTTTAAATCGATTTGCTCGTCACTCCACAGATGGCGGCGGGATCTTACTTTGTAATGTAGAACTATGGTCGTTTAATAAATGTGTTTAAAATTCTATTGTTTCTGTGTAGCATGTAAGTGTAGGTTTAATGACAATTAAACGTACGTAAGAATAGGAGGGTTCATTTTTATTATTTTAATAGATCACAGAGGAGAAGGTTCCGGGCAGAAAAAAAAGAAAAAGATGAATCGTTCGCGCATTATATTTAATGGTTTTGTCTACCACACTAGTGTAGTTCGTAAAAACCCAGCCATACGGTATGTTACTAACCATCGAATCGTGAACACTTCAACCTTGTGTATTTGCAGATACCTGATATGTGCTAAGTACGGAAGCGCAGGTTGTCACGCCAGAGCCGTACTTCCGCTACACGGAACGCCGGAAAAAATGCGCATGACCCGAGGACACAATCATCCGCCCGACGATTTGGCAGAAGAGAAATTCAACTTCTTGAAACAATTGAAGGATATCACGCAAGGAACTCCCAATAGTCCCCTGAAAGTTATTTACGATGGCGTTCTGTCACTGTTTGTAAAACAATTTCTAAATTTCTCATTATATGCATGGATAACGTTGTAGGTTTCCCAGATTAATTTCGGAGGTGAATTACGATTCTATTAAAACGTCAATGCGGCGATGGCGAAAAGAAGTTTCTCAAGCCTAAAGGCTTCAAAATGTTTTTGAATAGTATTGTGACTTTAGGTGTACGTTTTCTGTAAAAAAAAAGATATATTAAAACGGTCTTATTTAGCAGAGTTTGTAGTTGTGGCAATTCTAAAAAGTGTCGGGTCAAATTCTAACAGAAGGGGGTAAGTCCTACCTCAAGATGGCGCACGAAAGTCTGTGATACGATATAACCACCGTGTAAAATAATAAATACTCGTTATCTCTAGTATACGCACAAAGTGAATCCAGTTTAGAGTTGATGCCAATGGGAAGCCTTATGGAGTTTTCTTACGGAAATTACACTCGCGCGCATTTATTTCAAAACGCAGGGCAAACCGAAATTGATACAAAAAAAGTGTAGAACACAAATTTTAGAGCAAGAGTATTTTTGCCCATGGCGACGGCAGGTTTACATGTTGGTATTCATCCACGGTTGAAGATAGCCGTATTGACAGCATCAATTTCAGTCCGACGTTTTGAAATAAACGCGCACGAGTATGATTTTCATAAGAGAACTCAAGACCCCACTATCAGAAGTGTGAGACTGAACCTACTTTTGCCATCTCTTTATTCTGGACGATGAAATACATTAACAATTGAAAGAGCAGTCGGACACCGCTATCTATTTTACACAGTAACTCATCTCGGAAAAATAACGGGCATACCCAAAAATCTAGGCAAAGGGTTTAGTTCGATTCTAAAGGGAAGGGACTTTCTTACGGATCTTGAACTGCAAAAGGAATTGGCAAAATTTTGGATTTTGTTTTTTTGCCTATTACTCAGTTCATTACAGTTTCTTCGTTATTTTTTTCAAATGGGATCGTAGTGGTTCGGTTGGGTATTTTGGAGCATTCTGTATATAGTTTTCAAATTTAAATTATTTATTATTCTTTGATCAGCCTTGTATAAATGATCAAAAACAACGTATCGTGTGTATCAATATTATCTGTAGAACCAAAAAATGAGAACATATACAGGATGTACCATTAAAAATGTGAAATGTATAGTAGCTTTTCATTAAACCATCACAGACCCAAATTTTATGACCATATCTCCAGGGGTGAGCTTAATATTGTATAGGTCCAAGTAAGAACTTAATTGAATTTGAGGCACGAACTTATAAATTAAGATGGACTGCTAATGGTGAATTGACAAATGACACCTACATGGGGGCAGCCATGATGTGCACTCACTTGGCGCGAAATTCAAATCAACTAATAAACAAGCATTAACCTCACGTTTTTTAAATAAATTACTGTGACACAGGTCATTTTCCAAGGCTACAATAGTCTCAAAACTTGAGCACTAGGAAAATTCCCCTAGAAAATAACTAAAAAGTGCACATCATGGCCGCGCCCATGCTAGGGCCATTTCTACCGCTATGCAACTGTTTGATCAGCAGCCCATCTTAATTTATAAGTTCGTGATTTGAGGCCAAAGGTGATCAAAGTTACATATCACTTGTTGTTTCTTAAAAGTTATCAAGCTGGGTCCTTCAATACCCCCTTGTATTGGTTTCTAATTCCAAATTTAAGGTCGCCACCATGGTGAAGTGCCAAAATGGACACTCTGTATATCGCAATATAGATAGCACTGAAGCATTTGTTGGATTTGGTACATTTCTCCTTGGATGGTAACAACCAATTGCATTTAAACATTGTTTCAATATAGACTTTACAAATTGGTTTTGAAAAAATTTAAAATTAGAACTCTGGCTCCACATTAGGCCCTTTTTATCAAATTTTGAAACGTCCCGCACGCGATTAAGATAGAGAAATGGTTCAGTTGTTTAATAATTAAGTGAAATGTATAACTAACCCCTTTTAATTACTTATATAGATAAGAATCATTTGAAACAAAATACAAACACTAATTTTTCTAATACAGATAATGGCAAATCTTCTGTAAAACGGAAACCTGATATGCCGAGGTATATAGTGGATGGTTTCGTGTTTCATGTAAATATAATGAAAGGAAAACCGCCAATGATGTAAGTAGCTTTTGTTATAGTACTTACCCTAAGTTTATTATCCCGAATGTAGGTATTTGCGCTGTTTAGAGTATAAGCGCCTCGGTTGTCACGCCCGAGCCATAATACCGTGTGACGGTAACATACAGGATATTAAGGTGAAAAAAAATCACAATCATCCTCCCGATTATACGGCGGAAGAAAAAATAGTGTTCCTACGTGAGCTGAAAGAAGTACTAATGTGCAATCCCATGCTTTCGATTAAGGACGTTTATCAATCGCTAAGCGAAACGTACGTGTCTGGTTCTGGTGAAAATAATTCGTCAAAAGTTTTTTAGGTATCCGAATGCATCGCGGGAAATTCCCTTCAATTTGATACGGCACAAAATGAACCGTTGGCGAAGAAACGTCGGTTTACCCGGCGCACAATAACCTGTAAATTAGTTGAAAGAATAAATGTAAATTAATATCGTTTAGTTTTTCTATTCTACCCGAACTGTATACATAAATGTTTAATTCAGCGGCAAAAATAATGAAATCGTGGTTTGTTCTCAGGACTGTTTAAATTTGCAATACAACACACTGGCACCCACGATTTAGTTCTCCATCAACATATTTACCGTTACGAAAAACTCTTGAACGGGAAGAAGCTTTGGGTTTGTAGTTATAGTAGTGAGTGTCCGGCTAAATGTTACACTGCTTCTGGAAAGCTGTTATCTAAGATAGGTACTCATAATCACCTTCCGCCTAAAAAAACTATCATGGCCAAGGAGAAGAGAGGATTACTGATACATAAAAGCTTAGATTAAGTTTTTTAATATTTTGTATTGTGCGATTTGTAGCTTAAGTTTGGCTCTTTTTTATTTTGATTGTGTACGAAATGGATTTATTTCACTTAATTACAAGCGCTTGAAATGTGAACTTATTTTGGATTAGCTGGTGCCACACTCACTCCCATATGTCCAAATATTGTATCCTTTTCCCCTTATCGCTTCGCTCCCTGCATTGGTCGATTGTTTTTGTCACAGCTGCAGACGTGGTTGTGCTTTAAGCAGTAGCGAATTTAAAATTGTGTTTCAAATTGGCATGCTTTCTACCGCTGTTTTTTTTTCTTAGCCATGTTCTTGGGTTTCTCCTTTTTAATTTTGTAAATTCCACATTCCTATAAAATTCCAAAAATCTCGATGTACATCAAAACTACCTCTATTCCCAGCTTTGCAGATTCGTTCATGTTATCTTCTGTATATCTCTTTCTGCTAAAGAATAGCAATAAAAATAATAATACTTTCGTAATAAATAAATGCAAATTATACTGATCGGATTCTACCGATTTACCACCTGAATTGAGTAATCTATTACACGTTTACAGTTGATTTGAATTTTTTTTCCCTGGCCTGTGTGGCGCAATGGCATGGAATTTCGACTGTGATACTAAGGGTCCTTGGTTCGAATCCGGGTTCGGGCATGCGTATGTCTAAATGTACCTATAGTGGGTTGGGTCGGTAGACCCACCTTGGCTGAAACCCCGCCCACTTAAAAATAACAATCAAAAATTAAAAAGATTTACAAATTTTTATTTCAAAATGTGAAGCATACTATGGAGTATAGACATGTTTCTAAAATGTCCTAGGACAGTCCATTATCTCTGTCTATGAATCAATTTTAAATAAATAGGTGTTTTTATTTAATTTAAATGCATTATTAGTTGTTATTGTATAACAAATAATACATTTAATAATTGTAATGTCTTCTTTTTTCAACTATCAGTTTTCAAAGGTAACGCGATTTGCTGTCCCGGTGTTTTTTATTTTAATTTTTTACCACTTCAAATAAAACAAAGACATTAGTTATAACATTTCTTATGTAATTTTTTATTTTGCATCCAATAATAAAATAATATGATAATAATAATTTAAAAACAAAATGCTCATTTTCGGAAAATGGAACGAATCTATTAGACAAGCCATAATTTTAGAGTATTAGGTGTATCAAAATGAGATTTGGTGCAGGTAAATGGTACCTGAAGAGGAGAGTTTTCGCATATTTTTCTCTTTCCGCTCACTTCCGGTTTCACCGGAATTGGTCCAGGTTTTTAAATGGAACACCCTGTATATTATTACACATTTTTGGATTTCTGAGTCTAAATTAACATCGTTAGATTCGTCCAAAAATCCTTTTTTCTGAAAGTGCTTCTCAAAAATGGGTTGCCATTTGCAAATGGTTAAACATGAAAATTGGTTTATTTCTGTCTCTCATATTAGCCACTAAAACTTTGCTATTGTAATTTTCTGGGATCGTAAAAGGTTCTTAGATTAGTTTGGGTCGATCAAGGCCACCTAGATGCAATATTAAAAGTAGCTCTAAAAAAATCAAGTAGGCGTAAAAACTTTTGAAAAGGTCACATTCTGATTCAGAAGTGTCTCGGAAATAAAAAAAATGTGAAAATATGCAGTGTGCTCCATTTAAAAATTCAAAACTGGACCATTTCCGTTTCCAAGTGAGCGGAAAGAGAAAAATATGCAAAAACTCCCCTTCACGTACCATTTACCTGTGTACCAAATCTCATTTTGATACTCTAGAAATATGGCTTGTCTAATAGATTCATTGACACCCAGTATATGGCCGTAAATTGTTGCAGTATCGCGCGAGCAACGTGTGTTGTTTCGGGTTAAAAAAAGTACGCAGCGTAACTGCTGCTCGCGGTGTAGGCATCGAATATCAGAGAGTGCGCATCTGCTCTCTCCATGTGATAGAAGCAGACAGAAATATTAATTCCATTCATTTTAATTAAGGGTAGACTTGACTTAATTTTTTTAGGCAACCCATTTGTAATGTGTTGGTTTACATATTATTAAGATTGCTAAAAGCTGTATTTCACTTGGTGAACAGATGAGCAAAGGTTGGCCTTATGTTAGATCTTGTACTTTCAAAGAGCGACATGCGTCGACAAATCAATTAATTGCTCTTTTTGAAAGGCTATAAAACTGGGACGTTGTGTTTCTCAAAAGTCTCAGATACTCAACCATTTTTAAAGGTTCAGTCCTCAAAGAAAGCAAAAGGTCCGAGGTCTCTAGAGGTTTCTGGAAGACTCTTGGAAATTGTTGGAGACTTCTCGAAGAA